AGTGATAGAAGCTGCCTCTATATTGCTTAAGAAGGGCAAGTGTCCTGTCATGTAGCTGGGAAGGATGTGGGGCTGTACTCCTCTGGACCTACAGGGACCTAGTGGGCACCTGCCCTGAGCCAGAGAGAGCTGGCCTAATGCCTAAACCCGCTGCCCCCCTAACATCCTTCCTCACATCCAGCTGGGAAGCCTGAGACCAGCCAGACACTGACATTTCATTTCTAACAAAGGGTAGGTGGGTATCTGGGCCTTTCTCCTGCAGAGTCACCCCTAATCATATGTTCTCCATTCACTTCCTGAGTGGCAGTTCTGGGGGGGTCGGTTCCAGGTGTGGCTGAGGTGGTGGGCAAGTCATTTTACCTCTCTGGACCCAATTCCCAGTCTTAACAATAACCAGGTTAATTGTGTATCTAACAGATGAGTACTTCCCAGGGCTTTTCACAGTTGGGGTCCCAAGGAAACATACGGCACACTCCAGATAATTCTAGTAGGTTTAGATACCATAGAGGATGGTTTTCAAAGGATCGAGTGGGGCATTGAGAATGCACAAGGCCAGTGGGAGTGTAGTAATAGTAATGCAGACTTAGTAGCACTGGAGTCATTACCACCTCTAACCCCAAAGGGACAAGTGGAAGGCCATGTGACATAGGCCCCCTTGAGAGGAGCAGTGACCTTTGGTTGACTGTTGCAGCCAGCCTCAGGGGACCTCCAGGGAGGGAGGCCGGGGAACAAATGCCCCTCCTGCTTCCCTCTGATGTCCTCTCCTGGCTCTTATGATGCCCTACTGGTGCTCACCAATGGCCAGTTCCAACAGAGAGCCACTTGGCACGGGCCACGCAAGTGGCTTTATGGGCCAAAAGCTGGGGGGACATGGGTGATAGTGGACTCGGAGGGTTAAACAGAGACTGTTTACTAGGCTCTAATACTAGGCTCTAGGATACACTGTGTGTGAAGGAGACCAGTACAGTGCCCTGCACATGGTAAGTGCTCAGGCAAGTTTGTCCTGCCCACAGCAGGGGAGTAGCATTACTCAGGTGACCTGGCGTCTGCTCAGCAGAGACAGAGCCCTGAGGGGGAGAAGACCTATCCTATGGAGGCTGACTGGCATCTCTGTCCACAGCACATTCAGGAATTCACCAATGAGACATGGTGGGCCCGGACTGGCTGGCCGCTGCCCGACCACCTGGTTCTGTTTGTGTGGTCCCTCATCGTGTCTCTATATCCCCTGGGGGGCCTCTTTGGAGCGCTGCTTGCAGGTCCTCTGGCCATCAGGCTGGGAAGGTAAGTGCTTCCTGTGTACCCCTGAATACCCTTCAATGAGGGGTGCCATTGTCTGCAAGCTGAAGAATGTGGGAGAAGGACGATGGCTGGCAGACCCCAGGCTCCAACCTAGATCAGCTCCTCACCCAGCCTCCTACTCCACCTGTAGTGTTACCCTGAGAGTCATAGTTCCAAGCAGATTTGGTGGAGAGAAGAGTCTTGTGCTGTGAGGGAGGGAGGACTCTAGTTTCTAGTTCCACATCGTATTGTTTGACTGTAAACAAATGTTTTCTTCCTGGGCCTCGTTTCCCCCTTGCATTCAACTGATGCAGTTCTTGGGTTGCAAACAAGACAGACCGATGCTGACTTAATCAAAAATTGTAATAACTGGAAGGATGCTGGAGCAGCTCACAAAATGAAAGGAAGTGCTTGAAGCCAGGCCTTGAGAAGGGCAGGGTGCAAGGTGGTGCTGGAGATCTCAATAGCCAGACCTTTGAACTTTCCTCCTGGGGAGGATGCCTTCAGTGTATCAGCTCCAATCACATTTTATCTCCACTGTTTTCATTCAAGATTTAGAATCCAGGAAGACAGGTTGTTATGGGCCGCCTTGTGTCAGATGCCTACACTTGGGAAGGAAGAGAGATAAGCCATGGCAGGCAGGAAAACAAATGGTTACCACAGTCCACCCCTTTGCTGGCTACCTAGCATGCATAGACACCTTTCTCCCATGTAGTCAGCTGCAAACATGCCCCGCCTCCTATCATTACTCAACCATCCCATCATATATACCAGCATATGTATTTATCTCTTCCTGAGCGAGACCACTTGAAGCATTGTCTTGTCACACCCACTAGGCCTGATATAAAGGGGTATCCTTTTTGAGTGTAGGATTTCCATGTGATAACCATTCTGCTAGCCCTGCAGTTAATCTCTTGATATTCAGCAATCTACACACTTTATGGTAAATTTCACTGCCATCAAGACACTAATAGGAGGAAGAAAGAAGAAAAAGCAGGGGAAAACTAATCAAGGAAAAGAAAAATAGTTGGTGAATTTATTTTAAAGCATATGACACAGAAGGCCCAGAAACACAAGTAGAGGTTCTACTTGTTGGTTTTGGAACCAGTCATGGGCCATCACTTGCATCCTTCCAGGTGACTTCCATCCTCCCGTTTTTCACTCTTGTCTTGGGTTAGCACATCCACTGGTTGAGGCTCTTTGCCCATCGGGGTGACCCAAATCATCTTTCTTGAATGGGCTTGGTGGTCCTGATGGTGTGGGATCTTCAGCAGGTTATTACGCTCTGAGGTCATCTGCTTCTGGATGAAGGGATTCCTGATGCAATAATGAGTTCCATGGGCTCCCATCCTTCCTCTTTCATTGATGCAACTTCCTTTGTTGGATGCAAAATTGCATGGTGTCATATTTGTATATTTATCAGGTGTATCTGTTAGGATATCGTCAACTGCAGATAACAGAAAACAGACTCAGTTGGCCAAAACAATAGGAGAGCCTTTGTCTCACACAACAAGTCTGTAGGTGGGTGACTTCAAGGCCAGTTTAGTGCCCAAGATTCACTCCTCTGAGATTTCTTTGGGTGCCAGTTTCACTGTGTGTTGGTTTGATCCCTTGGCTTGTAGCTAGAAAGCTACAGCAATGCCTCACTCAGATGCAACAACACCCAGCAGAAGGGGGATGTCTTCCTGGCTAATGCTTTACGCTAGAAAGAAGACTTTTCAGTGAGGTACCATGTTTCATTGCCCAGCACTGGGTCACTAGCATAGAGAATAGGATCACCATCACTAGGTTAGATTCTTGGGTTCATTGCTAAACCATAAGGGGTAGGGGCATGTTCCCAAACAAACTGAGGCTCTTGCTGCAAAGAAGAAGGAGGTAATAATAGCTGCTGCCCAAATATCTAAAGATACCTGGTGTAGTACCCCTAGATGATAGCACTGGCAAAGCATGAAGGGAAGAAACTGAAGATTCAATTCAGCACATAAGCCTGTTCCAACGATAACCAATTACTGCCCCATCTCCATGGCAGGGATCCAGTGGAGTTCATCTTCCACCCAGTAGCTGACTGGAGCCCTGACATGTGTTGCCATTTCTGAAAGTTGAGTTGGCAAGGTGTTTGGTCAGCTTGGTGACAGGAAGCCTTTGTCCTTGATTTTATGTACATTTTCTGTCCTTGCAAACCTACCTGCTTTGTTATGAGCCAAGGGAGTGAGTGCTGGCCTGGCTGAGGAAACAGCTGAATGCCATCACAGAGGTGGCCATTCTGTCCTCCTGATTATGAATAGCCTCCTCTGCAGTGATAAGGGGCTTCTGGTGAGCAGAAACATGACCATGGTGTATGTTCAGGTTTTGGGCCAGTTCTGTGAGATCCATATAGTTACCCTTCCCTGCACCTCCTTGAAACCAGTCATCAAATTCTGCTCTAAGACTTTGACTATCCAACCAAACCCTTCAGAAAAGGGACAAAATTTCATGTTCAAGATTCTGTCAAAAAAAAAAAAAAAGATTCTGTCTACAGGAAGGGTTTAACTCCTTCAAAATTGTTTAGAGTTATTTTTGAGTGGGCTTTAATACCATAGCTTTACATTTCTGACAGAACCAATATAGATGCTCAACCATCTGCAAAGTAGGGTCAAGCTTTGTCTTGTTTTGTTTTAAACTAAAGACAAGGCCTGGGTGTGCCTTGAGAGCAGGACGGCAGCATGGTCAAGTAGGCCTGCTGATGTGACCCACTTGTGGGACTCTTTGGGGCCCACGTGGGGCAAGTTTGGTGTTTACCACTTCTGTCTAGTGATGGAGTGCTGTAGGTACACTCAGCCTTAGCACAGGAGTGTCATATGGCACCCAGTTCACAATGGGCACATGGCCATCAGGTGTCCCAGTAGGGTGTTTAGTCACCACCAGGGCCTTGTGACAAGCCAGGAGCATTTTCTTATTCAGAGGATAGCAGTTTGCTGAATTAGAGTAGCTTTACTCCCAAATCCTAGGTCTTGCTTGTGGTTCTCATTTTCGACAACTGCCACAGACACTTTGAACACCATAGACTCTCCTGGGTCTACAGAGTTAAGCAGCAGAACTCTTTGCACCCAGATCGGACCCACTAAGCATACTCCCCTTGCTTAGCTCCACTCAAAACTGCCAGGTTTTCAAATCATCTGGGAATGTGTCTGATCACGACACCGAATGTAGTACATGCAGCCTCTGAAATGAAAAGAAGCCCTCTGAGATGTGCCCATCCTTCTTAGAGGAAGGGCAGCAACTTGTCATCAATTTGTCATGCACTTTGGAGGGAATATGCTGACATATCTTAGTCCATTGGAATTCAGGACCGTCATTAATGTGGCAGCACCCTCATTTTTAAGCTTTCACTCTTTGTCATGCTTGTACCTTACCAAGACATCTAGTGTGTTTGCTGCTTTCTCTTCTCCAGGTCCTTTTAATATCAAGTTATCAAAGTAGTAGGGCCAGCACGATGCCCTGTGGAACAGATTGTGCCCAGAACTGGAGAGTTGCTATATCCTCTAGGCATGTCGGTAAAGATGTAATACTGTCCCTGCCAGGTAAAAGCTAAGTGTTTCTGGTGTCTCTATATTGACATGCAGCAAAATGCATTCACCAGGTAAATAGCCACAATCAAAGTACTTTGCTAATCTGTACCAGCGAGGAAGCCAGATGAGACGTATTCGTTACAATTGGAGTTACCACTGGATCCAGTTTGTTATAATCTACTGTCCTCCGTTCTCTAGACACAGGAGATATAAGCTTTGGTTCATATTCTATCACCACTGTGCTGTTGACTTTGGGCAGAGCACCTGGCCTCCTCTGGGCTCGAGTTTCCCTGTGAGTTGTGTGTTCTACAGTGAGCTGTCCTGGGTGACCTGCGTGACAGCACGTCTGAGCTCAGTATGTGCAGCTGAGAGCCTATTCTTCATTATAGTAGAGCAGTGGACATTTCTAGTGCCCCCGTCCTGGCTCACAGTCTGTCCCACTGAACTAGGCATGGGCATCCAGCCATTCTGAAGGTTCTGAGAAGCGACTGTAACACATGGAGGAAAATGGGAGGGGACTTTACATGGGTTCCTTGCCTCACTCTGAAAGTCCCTGTTCTTCCTCCCTAGGGCTTTATCGAGTGTGAGAAATCAGATATTAGGCCCTTCATTTTACAAAGGAGTTTAAGGAGAGTAATGTTTAATCTGTAGGGATAAAGCCATAAAACCTAAGTTCTGCCATTTCAAGCTGTGGTACAGGCAGAAAGGAGAGTGATTTGGGGTATGTTGGGGGAGGGGAGTAGGCGTATGCTCCTCAAGGCATACCACAGGTGACCCCAGGTATAATGGCCACGTAGTCACGTAGCTTAGACTCCTTGACACAGTTCACGCACATACACAGGTCTGATCAGGGCCAGCTGGAGTTGCAAAGAGGGGTCCCCAGGGATAGTTCCTCCAGACTAACTCGAGCCTCCCTTGCTCTGTTTCACTTTCCCCAAGGAAGAAGTCCCTCCTGGTGAACAACACATTGGTGGTAGCCGCAGCGATCCTGTTTGGCTTCAGCCGCAGAGCAGGCTCCTTTGAGATGATCATGCTAGGACGGCTGCTCACAGGCATCAGTGCAGGTATGGGGGCAGGATGCCTCTCTTTTCCTACTCATTCATTGATTCCATTTATGCCTTTCATTCATGTATTCTCTTTATTCACTGATTTACTTTTCATTCATCCCCACCTTTTTTTTTTTTGGCAAAATGATTAAATATGTTTTATCTTAAAAGGCTCGTGTAACGAGACATCCGAAGTAGATAAAAAAAAAAAAAAATGCAGTAGTCGTACAAGAGTGTGAGAACCAACCTCTCCAAACCCGTACTAACAGAAGTCCTGTATTTGAGCAACACTTTAAACCATGAGCTTCCTGGCAGCCAAAGTGTAAAGGCATCTAGGATGAGTTCTCAGATCTTCCCTATAGAGTTAGAATAGCCTGTTAGGGACTCCTTAGTTTTTGGAACTTGTTATACAGTCACATGTCAATGTCTATATTAGTTATCTTATTCCTGTGAAATAAAGTATGCTGAAACTTAGTGGCTTAAAACAGTCAACATTTATTATCTCACAATTTCTGTGGGTCAGGACCTGGCGATGTCTCAGCCGGGTGGTTCTGGCGTGGTGTGTTTCCTAAGGCTGTGATCAAGCTGTCAGCGGGGCTGCTGTCCTTTGAAGGTTTGGCTGAGGGTGGAGGATCTGCTTCTCAGATGGTACTCTCATGTACTGCTGGCAGGAGGCCTCAGCTCCTCAGCCTGCGGGTCTCTCTCTCAACATGGTGGCTGGTTTCCTCCAGAGTAAGTGATCAGGGAGAGAGAAAGAGCACAGGTGTCCGTGCACAAGAAGAAAGTCCCAATGCTTTTTATGTCCTCATCTCAGAAGTCATACACCTTCAGTTCTGCCACAGTCTACTTGTGAGAAGTGAGTCACTAAGACCAGCCCACACTCCAGGGAAAAGGAACTAGGTCGGACTTTGTCCTCATGTCCCAAGGGCCTAGCACAGAAGGGGTCCCTCCCTACATGTTTGTAGGAAGAGCTGGGGTGCCTCTCAGACTTTTTGGCAATCAATGCACACTCCTTCGTCCCAGCTCCCTCCACCCAGTGCTTAGAGAGAGAGGATTTAATGAGAGCTGTTTCTTGATCCCCGGTCAGGGAGTGGGGAGCAGCTCTCCCTGCAGTTTTCCCAGATGGATGATGCACAAATACTGTGGCCTCCTAGCTTTTGCCAGCTGTCACCATCTGGCCTGGGCAGTAGGGGTGCTGCCCAGTTCTGTTTCCCCACTGGCTGCCTAGGTGCCAGATGACTCCCTAGGGAAGCGGGATGAGGTGAGAAGCTAAAGCAGTAGTGGTCAGTGAAAGTGTTGATGTGAGAGCTGGGACAGCTGGTAGGCCTCTGGACACCACCCTGCCCTTCTCCTCCTACCTTCCACTCAGAGCCCTGCACACTCATCCTAGGGACGGGGTCTAGAAAGATTCTATGACCATGGTGGGACGATGGTGAGGGAACAGGATGGGAGCTGATCTGAGAAAGACTTCTCTCTCATAAGTACTAGGGGTGGACCTTGAGTCTTGCTGGCCCTACAGCAGGTGAGGAGGGACCCCTCCAAATGTACAGGGTGAGGGAGCAGCACTCAGTGCCAGGGTCCAGTAGATGAAGTGCCAAGGGGGCAGGGGGCAGGGGGCAGGCCCGGGCATTGCAGAGGGTCCAGCCTGATGACTGACTCTCTCTCCTGTGCACCTGTCCAGGTGTGAGCATGAACATCCAGCCCATGTACCTGGGAGAAAGTGCACCCAAGGAGCTCCGAGGAGCCGTGGCCATGACCTCAGCTGTCTTCGCTGCCCTGGGGATCATGATGGGTCAGGTGGTCGGACTAAGGTAAGCCCCCTCCCCCTCAACATGTGCACTAAGTGGTTTGAGGGATGCCAGTAAAAGCCCTTCTTTGCCTAAATTTCTCCCCTGCTCACCAGGTAGATTAAGGCATTGAAATATGCCCACTTCCATCTGGTCAATACACAAAACAGGTATCAGTCAGCCACACTTCAAAAGTGTGAATCATACTTTTCCGTTTTCTCCAGATCAGGGAGCAGAAAGCAGGTCTTGACAGAGAAGAGAGTAAAGGTTTGGGCTTTTAAAGGGGAGCATGTCCTGGTCATCCCAGAAAAGAGAGGAGAAGGCAGAGCCTGGAGCCCTAGAAAGAGGAGTTACTAGGGATGAGGTGGGGCCACATCCTTGCCCTATCTTGGGTCCCCACCTGAGTAGGAGGGATCTTGGTGTCCAGACCCAGAGCTGATTAGGAAGAGACACAGCAATGCAGACCATTTGCTCTCAGGAGAGCAGGAAGGCAAGAGGCTGGGGATTGGGGGCGGGAGGATAGGGGCAGGCGGGCAGGGAGGCAAGGCTCTGACAAGGAGGCTTCTGATTCATTCTCTCCTCTGCCTCCCCAGGGAGCTCCTGGGCAGCCCACAGGCCTGGCCTCTGCTGCTGGCCAGCTGCCTGGTGCCCGGGGTGCTCCAGCTGACCTCCCTGCCCCTGCTCCCTGAGAGCCCGCGCTACCTCCTCATTGACCGCGGAGACACTGAGACCTGCCTGGTAGGTGAGTCTCTGACCTCAGGTCACCAGACCACCTCTGACCAAGGGGCATGTCTGCCCAGAGCTTGGTCCCATTTCTTGGGTTTCATTTATCAGAGAAAGTTATCCCTCTCTTTGTGCTATCCATCAATCCCTTCAAAACTCTTTATCAAAGGACTGTCCTGAGTGCCAGGGCAGTGAGATGGAGCAGACCCAACCCCTGCCATCCAGGAACCCCAGGGTGGTGCAG